CTATACGTAAAAAAAAAAACAGAGAGAACCCCATCAATTAGGCACCCACGTGTCAAAATAAGAGGATTATACATGAAAGTGGTAAATTCTTATACGAGTAATAACTTTAAAAAATGAAAAATGAAAAGTAGAAAATAGAAACTCGGGTAATGGCCTAATATTAATAAATAATACTCTAAACTACTCTTATTGGTAAACGAAAATCGGGGAAAATAATTTAAAAGAAAAAAGGATCCCTATATATATATATATAAAGAGTATAGCGGATCAATTATACTAATTTTTTTTATAAAAGTATAAATAAAAGAAAAACAGAGTATAGCCGGTCGGCTATACTATTTATCCAAAAAATTAGAAACGTATAGCCGCCCGGCTATACTATATATTAAAAAGGAGCGCAGCAACGTGTCAAAATGCGAACAGCCGAGCGGCTATACTAATTTTATAAAAAAAACCAAGTATAGCCGCGCGGCTATACTATAAAAAAGAGGACCTGCCTTGCGACTAGGCGCCCGCGTGTCCAAGTAAGTACCGTGCGGCTGTACTATCTTTTTTAAAAAATTTAAAAAACCGTGAAAACCGTGTATAGCCGCACGGCTATACTTAAAAAAAAAAAAGAGAACCCCATCAATTAGGCACCCACGTGTCAAAATAAGTATCGTCGTGTGGCTAGACTAGTTAATAAAAAAACAGAAGAGAGAAAAGGACCTTCTAGTTGCATTAGTTTATACTTTATAGATATTAATTTGCTATTTCAACTCTACAAACTAGTAAAACTTAATAGCATAATAAATTTTTTAGTAATAAATTGACTAATAATTTCATATTCGAATTCCTATAGCACATTATCGCATGCGTTTGAAAAACCCTTGTTCCTAACTTTGGGGAAAAAATAACCTAAGAATGAACATTAAAAATAAGTCTCTTGGTATGTTGCAAAAGTATTGGACCTTCTTAGGTATAAAGGAGTATTGGACCGCTTTCTTCCTTGAATAAATGGCGGAAATATATTGGGCCTAATCTCTTCGTCCCTTTTTTTACAGTTAAAATACCCGTATCCATATCCTTGAGAATCCACGATCCAACTTCAAAGCCGCCACTTTCACGGGAAAATCACTGTATCACACAATGAAATTCCCGGCATTATCGACGTCCAAAACCCTCAATTTTCCCGCCATTTTTATGGAGAAACAGAAGATTCCCTTTCAGATATTTCTACGGATGATCTCCGTCCAGGGCAAAACCAATCGCAGTGGAAAATCCGTGCAAGCCTTGAGTAAAAACAACAGTGGTAGCATCTCAATCGCAACGACGGTCACGGAGGAGAGAGATCGAGTATTTGATAGTTTGAGAAATGACAAGGGTTGGATTCACTTTGTGGGTATTGGAGGTTGTGGGTTGTCTGCGCTGGCCATGTTTGCACTCAAACAGGTGAAGCTTGATTGCAGCCCTATATATTTCCTTTCTGAGAAAATGGTGTAAAATGATAGAAAATGAAAGAAAACAAACAACCCTTATAGAAGTCTTGCTTTGTTGTTGAGTAAACAAGTGGTAAGTGAAGGAAAATTGAAATTTAGGATTGTCAAATGGAGCTTCCTTTAGTAACTTAACAAAGTGAAAGCATGGTGGAAGGTTAAGGAAACTATCTTATTCGCTCAAACTTGTATAGAATTTGAAATCTTTGTTTCTTTTGGTTTTTTATTTTCTCGGCAGATGTCAAGTATTAGAATGTCATCTGGCTTGGATCTTAATTGTTAATTTTAATGAGTGTAATATACAATTGAAAACTGGACAATTTCTAGATTTCTTGAATTGTATTTTTTTTCGCCTGTAGGGTTATGAGGTCAGTGGCTCGGATATTGGATGGAGTAGCTTCATGGATGGGCTACAGGAAGCAGGGGCACTATTGCATATTGGTCATTCGGTGGAAAATCTGCAAAGGAACGCTGCCTCAAGATTACCTGACGCCATTGTTGTTTCTAGTGCTATTCCCCAACACAATGTGGAGATTTTGTATGCAAAGTCTGTTGGAGTTCCCGTGTGAGTACTTCTGTTCAATTTGGCATTTGATGTACTACGTTCTGAACTTCTTTTGGATTGTGATTTATGAGGCATAGACACTGTTTGTATCAGTTCCTATGCTAAACGATAACCATGGATGCCATTTTGTTTATCACGTATGCCACTTTTACAGTTTAGTGTATGCCTATCCAAGTAATGCTACGTTTACGTTAGTTGTTCTTCTTGATTTCATATCATAACCCCTTTCTTTTACAGGTACAAGCGAGACCATTGGTTAGGAAAGCTGACACAGGGGTACAATCTCATTGCCGTAAGTGGTAGCCATGGTAAGAATTTGTCCAAGCTATTATCCTCATCAATCAAAGTTAACATTGTCTACAAGTTTAAGGGTTTATGGAATGTCTTTTCTGATCTATCTATATTAATTTGTTATTTTTTTATCTAGTGAAAAATGTAAATAAGTTGGGTGGTTTCCCTTTCCTTTCGCTTCAGTAAAGTGAAATGCGATTCCTATTTATAAAAAAAACATATAGTGAAATGTGATAGGGTTATATGCTTGGTTGTGATACCCCAAAAAATACTAAGTTTGCATGCCTAGTATCAAATTTTAGAACTGATATACTATAATAGTTATAATAGTGATCCAATCGTGGTCAAATCTAAGATACTATTAGCTTGCCTTCTTTTTCTTAATGCTATTAATGTTAATGATTAATACTTATAGGAAAGAGTACAACTGCAAGTATGCTTGCTTATGTTCTAGACAGCATGGGTGATAATCTTACAGCAGTAGTTGGAGCACATGTGCCGCAGGTATCATTTTTCTCTGTGCAGCTTTGGTGAAAAGATGAACGTTTCAGATGCAATAGTAATACGTCTCTTTCTTGTATGGTCCATTCACCATGTTTAAACCATAGTTTTCTGCTTTCTTTTGAACTAGAATCTATAATAAAGTCTTACGATGAGTAGCTCAAATTGACTTTCTATCATTAGATGTTGAAAATGATTACAACTTTCTTTTGCAGTTCTCAGGAGGAAACATTATCTTCGGTGATGGTTGGAATTTTGTCCTGGAGGTATACTTTTTCATGACGGGGTTTAGTTTTTGATGAGTAGCATGAGCTTTGAAAACCATGCAAGGATTACATGTATACTTATTAAGGAATAAGGTGGTAAATGGTAATGGTATGATGTACAAATGACTGAAGATATCTAATATTTAAATCCCATTCATATAACAATGAATAACAATCACTTATCAGTAGAAATAAACGATATTTGGTTAAGTTTTTACGATTTAATACTTATTCTCTCCTTTCTGTAAGCAACCATCAATTCTATGTTCATAAAGATTGTAGCTTACACACATAATTTGTGTTTGTAATAGGCTGATGAATATGATGGTTGCTTCCTGGGACTATCACCTTATATAGCTATCGTAACAAATTTGGATTGGGAGCATGTTGATATATTTCAAAACGAGGAGGCAGTTAAAGCTACTTTCAGAAAATTCCTGAGTCGAATCAGGGTGGGCGGACATCTCATTTTATGTGGGGATAGGTACATTGCTCTACTATTTTGGCAGCATATTGCATTTTGGTGCAGCAGATAAGTTAAAGTGGTAGGCATTCTAGAAGAGCAACATTTGCCTAAGTCATGCATCATGTATGTGAGCTGCTCTAGATTTACTTGTTTGTCCGGTAGTTGCTCAACTTTCATTTCATATGCAATTAGACTTAAGACTCTGTATGAGTTTGGTTTAGTCTATTGGTAGTGCTTGCATGTATTGGTTATTGATATTGTTGTCTAATGTATTTTGCCTCCCCATATAAGCTACATATGTAATTTTAATTTTGTGTGTGTATATTTTCATTAAAAAAAATCCGTTTTCAATAGTGAAGGTGCATATTCCTTGCTGACTGATGGAAAGTTACCAATTGGATCGCATAATTGGAGTGGTCTAAGGTCAAGGCCATTGGAAAAATGTTCTGACAGCTACAACATAACAACTTATGGAACCACAAGTTTTAATGATTGGCATGCATCATCAATTAGGCCAAACTTAAAGGGTGGTTGTGATTATACACTGGTATGTAAAGATGGTTTCTTTTCATGTCTGGGATGCTCCTCTGTTCTTTACATTATTTTGTTTCTTCTGGAAAAATGATGATGTATGAAACTTAAGTGCATATTCTCTTCCATGGTTAATCACTCTTTCTCTCTCCCCTGTAGTGTCATCAAGGGTGCTCCGTGGTAGACATCAGTCTACAGATTCCAGGAGTTCATAACGTCCTTAATTCATTAGCAGTGAGTAGCATACCATACCGAATGTAGTGATTCTCATCACATTTCTTTTGTGAGTTATATTATAACCATAATATCTTTCTAATTGTAAGCCTGGCATTCAAAATTTTTAAGGGTGGATTTTCGTTTTTTGGTGAACAAACATCAAACAAAAATTAGGTTAGGTTGATTCTCATTGTATAAGTGACATTTTTCTTTTCACCAATTAGTAAGATTGAACTATTGAAGTCCTGTAACTTAATGTCTCTTGTAATCGTGCTGTATTATGCAGGTTATTGCTACTGTTGTAACATTATTCAGTGACCAAAGTCCAATTAACAATACAATTAATTGCGTGAGCTTGCACTTAAACAATTTTATAGGCATAAAAAGGCGTTTTGAGATGATTGGCACAATAAACGGATGCCATATATATGATGATTATGCTCATCATCCAACGGAAGTTAGTGCTGTCATTCAAGCTGCACGCCAGAGGTTCCCTAACAAGTCTCTTTTGGTGGTATTCCAGCCTCATACTTACAGGTATTCATCAACATGAGAACAATTGAGAGCTTCTTTTAGCACATTTTCTAGCATCATTAGCATGATCCATATAATTATGTGAGACTCTTTGATGATAATTTTGCAGTCGTTTAGCAGCACTGAAGGATGACTTTGCGAATGCCCTCCGTGATGCAGATCAAGTTGTAGTTACAGAGGTAAGATGTCTTGGCACAAAGTCTTTGCATAATCTGACAACCAAAGGGTTTACTGGTTTGATGTCTGATATCAGGTTTATGCTGCTAGAGAAATAGATGAGCAGAATGTTGGTGGAAGGGAGCTAGCTGCTACTATAATTGGCCCGCCATCTGATTACATCCCCTCTCTGGTAATACTGAATTTTAAGTTTCTTCAAGATACAATTATGCCTGGAAAGAGCATGGAAAATATGAATTTAAAAGCTGAAATATTACATATCGGGATCAAATGAAACCCCATTAATGCTCTAAATGGTTACAGGATGATGTGGTAGATAAACTGGCATTTCAAATATCCGAGAAACCTCATCGGAATATTGTTGTTTTAACACTTGGAGCGGGTACTGAATCTTTATGCCTCTAATGTCATATCATCATGGTCCATAAAAGAAGGGACAAATTTTGAAATAGAACTTATGAGTCCATAATTATTTGATTTTATTTGATTTATTCAGGTAATATAACTACGGTGGGCCCAAAGCTGCTCTATGAATTGCGAAGAAGACTACAAGTAAATTCTTAGCTTGCTCCAGCAGCTGCTTTTCGATGGCTTCGTTCAATTTGGAGATTCAGGGGTTTGATGTTTCAGTACCAAGACGCCCAAAACTTGAGATGTTTCAGTAAACCCCGTTGGTAACCAAGTCATTTGCATGCCGTGAATTTGGTTAGATGGATACCACGTGCAAAGAGAGTTGTTATTGAGATGGTTTTTGGAGGAAGTAAAAGCTTTCATCTTGGCAGAAAGAGATCACCATCTAATCAAAACGTACTCTCCAATGTTTCTAGCAGATGAAATACATCGTCAGAACTTCGTGGTGATGGGGAGAGGCCAATTCATGAAAGTGACTGGGATAGCAAGAAAGTTAAGCCTTCATCTATCAAATGATCCTGTTGACATCAGGCATGAACTTTTCAACCCACAAAATGCAAGAAACAGGTACGAATTCCCTTGTTTCTCAATCTAGTAAATACAGCGGCAAATAATTGCAAAAACGAATGAACCTAGAAAGGTAACCAAGAAGCAGCAGCTCAGATGACCTCATCAAAGAGTTGCAGTTACTTGCATTCTCTAAAAACAAAAACAAAAACAAAAACAAAAAACAAACTAGAATTCTAAAACCTAGCTAGCTACCAATAAGAGAGAAACACAACACAATCATAGAATTGAAACTTCACTCACCCACTCTGTACACAGCTTCTTACTTTCCTCTAAATTTGATCAATCATCTGCAGATGAAACATATGCAACCTCCAGACATGATAAAGCTCATAAATTTGGAGCAATATCAATTCAGAGAATAAAAAAGGGTAAAACTCCTAGCCAAAAAAGGAGAAAAAGCCGCGCTTCTTCTTTGGCTCTTCCTCAACCATGACAGCCTTCATGCTGTCCTGCTCAACAAGCCTCCATGCTGCCTGCTCGAAAGCCAGTCCAGCCAATGTGGGCGGCCTATTCAAAACCAGAGGGTACCCTCTGTTGGTGCTTCTGATTACCTCCGTATCCTCCGGTATCATCCCCAACAATGCCAAGCCCAACATCTCCTGCACATCCAGCACCGACATCATATCCTCACCTTTGATCATATCGGTCCGAACCCGGTTCACCATCATCTTGATATCCCTAATTCCGTCACACTCCAGCAACCCAATGACTCTGTCAGCGTCTCTCAAGCTCGTGATGTCCGGCGTGGTCACGAGCACGGCCTCATTGGCCGGCGTAATGGCGGTGATGAACCCGGCATCGATGCCTGCCGGGCAGTCGATGAGAATGAAGTCCGGGCAGCCCTCCTGCCTGGCTTTCAAGGCGTCGACGACCCAAACCAAGGCTTTGCCGCCAAACCCCATCGGCAATTTCGACCTGGGCTTGGAGATGCAGAGCAGCTCGAAGTTGGACCAGCGCTTGTCTCTGACGAGAGCCTGGTCAAGCCTGCAATCGCCGTTGAGCACCTCGACGACGGTGTAGTTGACGCGGTTCTCGAGGCCGAGGAGGAGGTCGAGGTTGCGGAGGCCGACGTCGGCGTCGATGGCGACAACAGAGAAGCCGAGGCGGGCGAGGGAGAGGCCGACATTGGCCGTGGTGGTGGTCTTGCCGACGCCGCCTTTGCCGGAGGTGATGACGACGACGCGGGGGGTATCGCCGGACAATTGGGGCTTCCTATTGTATTGGAGGACGGAGCGAACAGTGAATGGGGAAGACGGGTTGGGTTTTAGGGTTTTGGGTTTAAAGGGGTTTGTGTTGGTGAGGAAGGAGGAGGAGGAGGATGGCTTGGGATTGATAACGGTGGGGAGTTGAAGAGAGAGCATTGCGCCTTCTATGGCCACTTTGGTTAAGGGGAGATCATCAAAACAAATGGAAGTTGAAGAAGAAAAAGATTTGGTGGAGGAGGAGACTATTGTTGAGTGACTAGAGAATTTGAGTTGTGAGAGAGAAGGACAACTGTTAAGTCTAAGATAAGAGATGATTTGTTTCTTTTTCTTTTTTCTCTTATTTAATGGACGAATTAATTTGCCAGATTTAGCGATTCACAGTCGAAACTTGCAAAATCAATCAATTTTAATCTTTTAATTTTTTTTTAATTTTTTGTGTGCGCCGAAGTTAAGAAGGAAAAGGAGAAACTCACACGTATTGGTGCCATGAAGATTTGAACCTATCATCACTTGGAGCATGTTAAAGTTTTTTTTAATTTTATTTTTTCTTCATCATAGACTCATTCAAAAGCTAAAGAGGACAAATGTAGACAGATGCGGCCATGATAGTGAGTCCGTCTCCTTTTACTCAAGTTCTGACCGATCCCTTAGTAGATTAGATTAATTTAATATACTTTAGACTATCAAGGTAAATCGAGAGATAAGATATTTTTCATTTTCTTTGGAGTAGTTGGGCCAAAAGCTTAAAAACAACAAAAAATGAAAAAGGGCCGAGCCCTGAACACTCCTGGAAAGGTCTTGTGTAGGAACAGGCCTAATATGGAGGCCCAGGTTTGCATTACCAAATCACAGTCATACCTTCTTATTCATGTAGCTAGTCCAAACCGTTGGATCTAAAGACAAGTGTTTTCAGATCTATGATCTGAGCCGTCAAATAAATAAGCCAATAGAAATATTTTGACGGAAAGCAAGTGACACCATGGATTTCGATAGAGCCAGCCAACCAGGCCCCAACCTAATCCAAAGGACAAAGAAAAGTCAGATATTCTAGATTTACCCTTCAGACCAACTCGGGCCATCTTCCCGCCACGCGTCGCCGTCCCATTCGTAATTTACACGATTACCCACTTCACTCTCTCTCTTTCTATGTGGTCGGTTATTTCCCTCTGTTACGAAATTTTCACTTTCGTTTCTTACACAACTCTGTTTCTTTGGATCCAAACGCTTCCAATATCTTCCGGTTTCTGCTTTCCACGGATGACTTACAAAGCTCGAGGTCCTTTCCTCTAGCTCTCATTCTAACCTGGTTTGCTCTCTCTCTCTCTCTCATCGTCTTTAATTTCGTGTATCTATATTTGCATATAATTGTTGATATTTGGTTTCGATTTATGTTTCTAGATTAATGGATTTTTGGATCTGATTTTTATGGAAGTGGTTAATACTGTTAGAATTTGATGTTTCTGTATCGGAACTGATATATAGATCACACGATTGTACGTATGGATTTGTGATGAACTGTTGTAACTATGTTGATTTTTTGTGCGGATCTATTTGGTGAAGTGCGGATTTGAACAAATTAGATACCACCATCTGTTTGGATGAAGAGAAAATTGAGTGAAAGTTCAGTTGGTGGTCTGAATGAAATTTGGCCTCTGTTTTGTTATTTTGTTCTTTAGCTCCCCAGTTATTGAATTGAGTGATAAATTTTTCATCGGTTTGGTCTTATTCCATCATCTCACCAATATAATGGAAGATTGGATTGGTTTAGATTTGCTCAGGACCTTGGTAATTCATAATTGAAGCTGTGTTTCGAGTTGACTCACTGGGTATCTCTTGTTTTTGCGAACCCTTTGCCTACTCTGGGTTCAGAGCTTTGTCACTAGCAAGGATTAGATGGATATCGTACACGTCTTTTAAAGGATTGTTAATTCAATAATTTTTGAAGATTTTTTTATCTAGCTTGATTGTGAGGTCTCAGGTGATGTTATTTAGATCTAATTTTAGGTTAGATAGGTCTCTTTACGGGGAAGTTTGACTTCACTTTATATTATGGCAATTATATTAAGGGAGTTATCCCTGATATATGTTGCCTGCGTTTTACAGCATGTGTGTGTACCTGTTTCTCATAGGTCATATATCTATACTTTTGTGTGCATCTAAACACGTGTACCAGGGTAGAAGTTTTGGTTTCAATCATGACTCTTTACTTTCTCTGCAGCAGTGAAGGCCATGTGAGCTGTTTGGGACAGATTTTGATTATTGCTTCGACAATTGGTATTTGATGATCAGTTCTTTTAGTATGCTCCAGATGGGTAAATGCAAAGGTTGTGGGAAATTAGGAAGAATGATGCCAAGGGGTGGATCTGTGAGTGCATATCAATTTTCCCTTCTGTTGTCGCCTGTTGTTTCTGTTTGGGATTGCATCGTTCGCAAAATGAGGTACTCCTACAGACCTGAGTGGGTGTAGTTGTCAGGATTACAGTAATATATTAGTTTTCAACAAGAAAATTAATTAAATTTATTTAGTAATATAGAAAAGCAAGGGAACACAGTTATAGGGAAATGTATACTTTAGAGGAATTCTGAAAGAAAAGTTAAACAAAGGCATCTGTTTAGAGGTCGTTAATCTGAATGGATAACATGGAGTGTAATAAACTGCAACCTGTTGTGAGAAAAGTTAAGAAGAAGCAGGTGAAGGACGAATTGGATCGTCAAAAACAGGCTGAGAAAAAGAAGAGGCGCTTGGAGAAAGCCCTTGCTACTTCGGCTGCCATCATTTCTGAACTAGAAAAGAAAAAACAAAAGCAGAAAGAAGAGCAACAGAGGCTTGATGAAGAAGGTGCTGCAATTGCCGAGGCTGTTGCGCTGCATGTTCTACTTGGTGAAGACTCAGATGAGACATGTGAAATTGTTCTGAACAAAGACAAAGTGCTTAATCCTTGGGATTGTCCTGGCGATATTGACGTCTTTATGGCCGGACGGAGGGCATGCTTTCCTTATCAGGACTCTGCAAAGTGTTCACTTGAAAGGATTGGGTGGGTCTCTAATGCTTACAGATCGGGATGCAAGTGGGGTGGTTTGGGGAACAGTCAGTTGTCGTTCTCATCTGGGCCTTATGGAAGGGATTACCATGAACAATTTTGTGAGGAAGCAGGTTGGGGGACTACGGGATTTGCTGCTGGTCTCATTGCAGCGCAAGCTGTTTCATCTCTTCAGATTGCAGAGGAAGCACATGAAGGCACAATGGTGCTTGATGGAATGCTAAGACGGTAGACGGACATTTCAGTGAAGTCGTCATGTTACTGGAAGAGGCGTATTGGCTGAATTTCGATAATGATGTTTTGTATATAATTTCACGAATGTGTTTAGGTGGTTTATCTGGTAAACGTATCTTCTTCAGCTTGGACAATGTTGCATGACATGCTCTTTCGTTTTTCTTCTTAAATTCTCTTTTAGAGGCTGCGATATTTTTACGTGCAGTGTAAGCTGACTCGTCTTTCTGATATTTTTGTGGAGTGTATTATTAAACTAGTGTAGTTTCAATCGTGAATTATGTTCAGATATTTTCTGGTGTATGACAGACTGTTATTAACGAATTTCCAGTTTCGATGCGATTGAGGCATGCTGCTAATAATAATTTGTTATTTCAAAGAGTTGCTTGTTGCCAATATTGTTGGTGATTTTGGCCTGACCGCAACCTTTCTTTTCGGTTTCCCTGGTCTCGTCTAGGGTCTAGTCGGACAAAAGGGTTGATGCCTATAGCGTTATTTTTCGCATTATGCATGACAAATAAAAATACAATAGCCATCCTTGCTTAGACAATGAGTTCATTATCACTATGGTCTCACTTGAATGGACCGTAAATTCTCGAGACAACAGTTTTAGACTATAGTCGAGTGTATTTGTACGGGTATGAACTCATATTCATAAAATCCATTTAAATCACCAAACCAGTCAAATACAGATGACGTCCCTTACAACTGTAGTGGATAATTTTCCCCACTGAGAGCTAGGGCTCTGATAATACAGAACCGATTATCAAACTTGGCCAAACACATTCATAAGTGCTTTCCTAACTCTACGGAAATCAATCAATTAATCATGTAATAAAGCAACTACAAGTTGGGCAATCTATTGAATATATGTACTCCAGTTTGGGCGGATGAATGGGCATAATTCTGTTCAGCGACAAAAGAAATTTTTCATTGATACCCAATGAATTTAACTAGCGGTACACATGGTAACATGTCCTCGAAGTTACAATCTCAAGTGGTACGCCATGTATATGATTTCTGCCGCGGAGGTGACTCTGCATCTGATTGCTGGTGGTGCCGAAGTACATCCTCTTCCTTATTCTCAATTTCTGTACTACTGGATGGTTTTGCTCCTGTAGTGATTAGGTTTTTAAACCAAGCTGCTTGAAATCTAGGAGTGCCTCTGGTTGAATTTCCAGGAGACTCAGGAGCAGCTATGGCATTGTTAGTAACACCCGCAAGGAAACGATATGCCACTTTGCTAGCAGATACAATCTCTGTCTTGGCTTGTCTCAACTGCAACAACCCAAGAAAACTATCAGACTTATATGCACTCAAGCAACCAGAAGTACAAAAAATGATCATAAATAAATTACTGGGCACACTAGATTGCAGACAAATTCAGATTGAGAACACAAGGGTTAAGCCACATCTAAAGCCACTACAAGTTCAGGCAAAACATAAAACATAGTAGGCCATACGTAGGTAACTTCAAATTAAAAACAACAGCAATGATAGTCTCTGCATGGGACTCTTGTGGATATGTTTAAGATTAAATTTGCTGCAATTTGCCCCTTCCCAAGAAAGATAAAAATGTCAAGTATCTCATTTACATAAAACTTGGCTCACTAAAAAACCTAAGGTTGGTTGCCTGCAACCACAAGCTTGAAAATTTGAATTGAATCAATGTATGCACTAAGCACATGATAGGCAATGAAAACCAGAGTTATAATCAGTACTTTTACAGAAGAGGATCCAATGAATTGGTAATGACAGACTTCAAGGAGCATAAATGGCTCTGAAAGATAAGTTTTTCTTCAGGGATATTATAACAATAGTGCATTCTGCATAAATTACTCACCCGTATTGCTGTATTACCCGCTACTTCCATTGCAGCATCACCAGCATGGGCAAAACGATTAACCCAACCTGTGGAAGAAGCTATAAGAATGCATGCCAGATAGTAATTTACAACTCCGTTTTCAAATCCAAAGGCACAGTAACACTAAGATCATAACTTCACAACTTAACCTTCTCATCTCCCCCCAAAACCCATACACCCAAACCCCCCATCCCCCGTAACATACACGACCAATTTAGAAGAAAACTCAATATAAAACTTGCTATATCGATCACCCTTGCTACGCTCGTATCTTCAAGCTCATGATAATACATGAAAAGAATACATAAACCACAACAATTTCTGGTACTAGTCAACCAAAAAAGCAGTAAGCATAATGCAAAAACAGACACAAAGCGCACATTGTACAAGACACAGATAAATCATGCTTGAAATAAAGCTTGCAGGTTCAATACATTATCAATAATGTCAACTAAAGCAATGGAGCAGGGGTCATGAGTGCATCTTTAACAGCACATTTTCCAAGACAAAATATATGTGCAGGTCAAATTCTAATAGGACATAGTTTTCAAAAATGACATCAATATATAAATAGAAAGACAACGATATGAACTGACTAAAAAAGACTAATTAATCTGCCTGTTCCGCTCTCCAAGGGTTGGCTACAAAAATCTTCTTTATTACCAAGAAATAGCTTAAACTCATGAAGTCCGGAAACAACTATAAACATTGATCTCAAGATTGTAAACCAACAGAGATTTGGACCAACAACCAATTTGCATATCAATAGCCAACCCATCAAACAAAAGGGAGTCACACTAAGGCAACTAATTAAATTCATCTATCAGAATGTTCCAATAGAACATACACCATCTATCAGGCAATCAACTTGGACACTGACACATCATTGACCCTTGCATTTATGTTTGGTCAAGTAATCTTTCAATTGCAAGAAAAAAGCATTAAGCTTGAGAATTGCTGGTAAAATAACAGATCTCATAACGTTACCTGGAAGCTTTGGCACCCCAAGCCTTTCAGAGAACTCATCACAAAAGTGGTTGCAGTTTTTTGATAACAGGTCATATGAATACCCAGGCCACTCTCTACTGAGTTCCCTCAAGATTTGGTTAACCTTGAAAATTGAACAATCTGTTGTTCCAAGGGTGATGCATTCACGATAGGTGTACATAGGATTTTTTCCGGAGGGGCAACTAAAAACACCAGATCCTTGTTCACAGAACCCAAATGACCATTCATCCTCTCCATAAACCTATCAAATAAAGCATAAACAATTCTGATCAGATCTTCGTACTATAAAGAATACCACAAAAGAATAATGTTTGTCTTTGAAAACATAAGCAATGAAAACTCAACAAAAAGGCACTTCCATCATACTGAGAAACATCTATTGAGCAAATCAGCAACTAATGAGCACCCAGGATCAAGCTGAACTCAACCACACCTCCGTACTTTAAAATCCAGGGAAAATCTAATATCACTAAATTGCAAAATTTCATTATTCAGATTAAAATCTCCATCAAAGATGTACAATAAATTAAGCAAATCAGTGACTACTGAGAACCACATAAACCCTAGGCATTCAATCAGAGTGAACACACAGGTCATTTCTCCAACCAATATAATAAATACACAAGAATCAAAGTCAAAATTCCCAACTGCCTTAACCGAAGGGAAGGTCAAAAACCCTAGATCTCTCCTATAAATTCACAGCACTCCAAGATTACACCAGCCGGCCAACTATTCATTACGTGTGTACTTTGGGATTACATACATGCATACATGTGCGTGTGTGTGTGTGTGTGTGTGTGAGAGAGAGAGAGAGAGAGAGAGAGAGAGAGAACCTGTATGGCGCTGTGGAAGATACCGCCGAGGCCGATACCGTCCTTGAAGATCTTGTTGATCTGAAGAATGGTGCTGTTCGTTTTGTCCGATCCACTATTCGTCACGTCATATATATGCAGTACCACCTCCGTCATCTTCTTCACCAAAAACCCTATCTGTATCCCTAACCGAAACTCCCCCTCCCTCTCAATTCAAATCAGAAACCCTACCCCTCTTCTGCTTCTCTATATCTCTCTCTGGAAATGAAATTATTCACTTTAATTCAAACAAAACTCCACCACTTTTCGCTGCCTCAGCGATTACGACTTCTGATTTGAATACCCTCGCCTCGATTTGCTAAATTTCTCTGTAACTCTCTCTTTCTTTCTTCTTTTTTTAATCTCTCTTTTTTTTTTCTCGTCTTCTCGTTAAACTGGTTTATTTCTTCAACTCAGGCAGAGAGAGAGAGAAAGTGTGTGTTTATTATGACTTTTGTGTGTGTGGAAGCAAAATTCAGAATCTGGTTGTAAATTTTCACGGACTGTGTCTGTGTGAGTGGCATTTTTTTGTCTGTTTTTTATTCGCAGAGGGGTATTTCAGAAATGAAACAGACCCCGGAAGTTTGAGGAAATTACGGAATCGACAGCAAGTAGCACAACTGTCTGCCACTGTGGGTAACGTATCGAGTTATGATTAGCCCGACTTGGATAAGTGGGCCTACGTAGCACGCCACGCAATTATTAACGGTTAACACACCGACTGCTTTATTTTCGTAAAATGACCGTAATACCCTTATTCGTGTTTTCCCACGGACAAGGGTATCAGTAGTTTGAGAAGTTAAGATTCAACACATAACCTCGAGTGAAAATGACAATTTGAAGCTACAAATCCTTTGGAATAAAAATCTTCGGTATATTTTGTTTCTGTTGCGTCGACATCGGTGATGTAAGATATTTCGCATTTGCGACGCAGTTAGGCATATAAGCATGAATTCCTCGTTCTGTTTTTATTAGTAATGTTTGTGGTGTGGGTGTCCAACTCAAAAGTCTCTCTCAAAAACTTGAAAGGTAAACGATGCCTTTTCCCTGTATACGTATATTTGATTTTGAATTTTTACATCATCATCAATAATTGCCTGGTAATCGCTCATCATCAATATTCTTATTGGACCTTATCCCTGTATTTTGGTACAAATTCCATGAGCTCAGATTCAAATCTGATCACAATCTTATCATCGGATCACATTCTGAGGACTTCATCAACTGCGTGCATGTGTGAAAGAAAAGAAAAATATGTTGATCCTCTATATTCACAAGCTATATATTCAAAGTAAGCCATACTCTCTTTCTATATTTAGGGGATCCTATTATATTGTAATTGGGGTGAGATCCATATCGACACGATATCGACTATTGATATGTCGTTCAAATTATTGATACTATTGATAATTCGATATACAGTTGTTGATACTGTATTTGATATGGATCCCACCTCAGCTACAAGTATGTTCAATGACTACTTGTATATATGTCAATAGTGAAGTACTATAAAGGCCAGGGTTCAAAGTAGAAGCCAAATTTGAAAATGATGGTGGCTAGGCTACACTATACAAAGACGAGGTCAGTAGGTATGAAAATGATGTACTTTAATCTAATTAAAGACAGAGAGAAATGTTTAAGTATTGTATATTTAGTGATGAGACTAAGTTAATGATTTAGGATCGACACTTTTGAGTGGGAAGACCAAATCCCACTATCTCTCTCTCTCTCTCTCTCTCACCATATTACACTTTTTTGGTAGATTGCTTCAGCAAACCTAATGCGCCATTAACGACATTTTAGCTTCCAGCTGGACTTGGGGCCTAATTGGCATTACTTTCCACTCATTATATTTTCGTTTTCTTCGCAACCATTTAAGAACTCTATAGATGGCAGCACATGTTGCTTTTTAAGTGAAAAACCAGAACCGCAGAAAGTGAGAAAGATTCTTGCGTCTAGTGTAGTGCAGAACAGCCAGTTCGCCAGCTAGGAATTTTACTTTTGAATATATGCAAGCTTCCTATGATTCACAGTATCTTCTGTGTGTAAATAGAACTTGTAGCTTTGCGGGTTTGGTACTTGAAAACCCAGAAATGCAAAAACAAATACATTATACATTTCAGACAGCAAACATGGGCAGTTTCTGTAATTCTTTCAGTTACATACAAGATACAACAATAAGATAGAAAGAAGAAAATACTACAACATCTTGACAGTAGGGAAGATATAACTCAGAAATTCATTACAAAGTGTCGGATGATAATCGTGATAAAAGGATTAAAAGCAACCAAAAGAAAAATGAGAAAATTCTAATAGTAGTAAAAACCTCAGAAAGATACCTCTAAGTTTTGTCTCAGTGGTAGTGCTAAAGTGGAGATCTTTAAAATTCTTGTATGGTATTGATTGTATATTTATTGATGCACAAGCCTAAAGCTATCTACCATCGTTCGTCATCAATTGAGAAAAAACTTGGCTTGTATTAATCTCTAAACTACCATTACCATCACCTTCCTCTGTTCTTGCATTGGTAGCTGGATCTCCAGGAACAATTGTATTTGCTGGAAGCTCATTGATATCGCCGTCTTCATGCACTTCTCTTCGTGGTCTAGATTCCTGAAGCTGAAGAGCATATTCTAAATTCCATAGTACATCACCAATGGTTGGCCTATCAGCACCATATTCAGCCAAACATTTCTCTGCCGTTTCTCCAAACTTTTTCAAAGAGTCTGGTTTGATCTGTCCAACAAGATGGGGATCAATAATTTTCTCAAGCATACCCTTCTTCTGCCATTGCATTGCCCATTCACCTAAATTCACCTGCTCCCTGTCAACCAATGGATCAACAGCAGGTCTAGCACAAAGAACTTCAAAGAGCACTACCCCAAATGAATAAACATCTGACTTATCAGTAAGCTGCTGCCTCCGGAAATACTCAGGATCAAGATACCCAAAACTACCTTTAACGCCAGTACTTACATGGGTTTCATTGAGACACGGCCCTGATCTCGAAAGACCAAAATCAGCCACCTTAGGCACATAATTCTCATCAAGCAAGATATTAGTTGATTTAATGTCACGGTGAATGATTCCTTGAGCAAAACCTGTATGAAGGTAGTGAAGACCCCTTGCTGATCCAATGCATATTTCAAGTCGTTGCTTCCAAGACAAAGGTAGAAGCCCCGAACCATACAAATGTTTCTTTAAGGGCCCCTTTTCCATGTATTCATAAACAAGTATCATTTCTGACTGTTCTTCACAATAACCAACAAGTGATACAAGATGTTGATGCCGAATTTGAGACAAAACAGTTATTTCAGTCTGGAATTCTGGAAGGCCCTGCCTAGATCCAGGCACACCTCTCTTCACAGCAACCTTTGTATTGTCCCTTAGGACCCCTTTATAAACCATGCCAAAACCACCAGAGCCTACAATTAGATTTTTATCGAAATTGTTCGTTGCCAATTGTAACTCAGCAAAAGGGATTTTCAAGAAATGATATCCATTTGGGCCTGGAGATGCAAGTGCCGTCCTTTCAGACATTCTACTGTGTGAACTACCTCCATATATGCGTAAAGGTGTCCAACCCACACTTTCTGCAGGTGCAGGTTTCAGTTTCTTCTTCCTGCGTTTCAAAGCAAGCAGAAATGCAACAATTGCAAAACACAGAATAACAAAGCCTCCAACAACTGTACCCACCAAAATCCATATACTTTTCTTCTTAGAACCAGCTTCAGTCTGTAAATGGGAAACATTCACCATTCTCATGATCTCTGCCCCATTCAATATAGCATTCATCCTCACAGAACTGCTCAGATCAGAAGGACCAACACTAATTTGTATAACCCCCGAAACATCTGAATTGACAACAAAATCAATATAGAGTGGAGATGCAAGTTCATTGGTTGCCAGTACCGATAGATCGACATCTCGGTATGCAGCATACCCGTTGATATATATATTAAAATACAGCAAGTTAAGTGCAGGGCTAACAATGTCACAGAAATGCAATCTAACTAAATGCCCAGAATTCGAACCCACTGGAAATTCCCATGTGATATTGAACCTTGCATCTGTAATTGCCTTATCCCTATTCATCTCCTGAGCAGTCATATAAACATTATCAGGGGCAATCTCTCGAGTTGCACCTCCTCTCTGATAATTTGGAATATGACTGGTGGAGGCATGCTTTGCGGCCGATTTCAGGACAAGATAATCCACATCAGGGACCCAATCCCTCCACAGAGTATCATTAAAAGGGGTCAATTTGGAACCTCCAACGTTAATCCTATAAATGGTCTCTAAAACCTGGGAAGAAAGATTCTTGTATTCAACTACATCGGCACTCACCAACTTAGCTCCATAATCAACAATAAGGTCCTCAGGTGCTGAAAAAACTTCAATTGCGCTTACATATGCAAAACCCGAGTTGTCCAGAGGCGTAAACACAATTTCAAGCACATTTGTATCAATTTTCATTATATATTCTCTAAGCACATTATCTCTAACATGTACATCAGTCAACAGCACAAGCCTATCAACGGAAACGCTAAAGTTTGCAGCTTTCAAATCGAAACCTTGAGCTACGAACGGTGAGAAATGGAAACGTACCATGTGAGTCCCATATTTTTTGATGCCGAAGCTATAGCTTGAAATTCTCTTGAAAACTCTTGCTGTGTGGTAAAGGGTGGGTGAATTGGGAGGTGGGTTTTGGTTGGTGAGCGAAATGGAACCGGACCCGGGTTTGTAGGAATCTCCAGCAAAGACCCGGTTGAAGAGCGAGGTGTTGGACAGTGAGCCACAGTTGAGGAGATAGTTGTCTAAGGGAGTGAAAGAGGCTGAGAAGTGGAGGAGGGAGAGGAGAGTTAAAGAGAGAAAGTGAAGGTTTTTGGTCTCCATGGAAGGAGGCTTTTTGGGGTCTTGAAGAAGTTCAAGAGCTGGAGCTCGTGAGAGTGAAGAGTGGAAGACAAATTGTTGGGTTTATGGAGAAACAGAGTCACAGCACAGAGGCCTTGACTAATGGAAGTGAAGTGTTGAGAAAAAAATTATTTTATATTGAAGATTTTGGACCGTTCTTATCTTGTGGACAAAGCTGTGTTTGTTTTTGACATTTTTGGCCAAGTGCGTAGAATTATCTGACTTCCAGAAGGAAATGCTGAGCTACATTTTGCAGGCTATATGGTTTTGTTGCATGCTCCCCCCTTCCCTTGTGATATCCTCTGCCAAAAAAGGTCAAGGCCTTGTGTCTTCTTCTATGTTTCTCATGATTCTATATGAAAATGCTGCAGTACTCAGACCTAATTCTCATATTCTCTTTGTGATTTTTTTCATGATTGTTTTTAGGATATTTGAAAGCTAACCCAATCCAAGGGTCCCTTCTATTAATGTATAAAAGAGCCTGACCCCCTAGCATTTATTTTATTTGTTCATCTTTTCTTACCCCCTCCTTTTTTTCTCTTGTTGTATGTGGACTTGATGAACCATATATTATACATAACTGGTTAGAAAGTGAAATTTAAGCTGCACACACACTGAAAAGGGTTGATGCATGCCAGCTCAGTGAAATTTGCAAGTGACAGAGCCACTGAGTATCTGAAATGTCAGTGTCACTTTCATCTTCCAATTTCACCAAGGGGGGCTTCATGTGCTCAAAAGTTTGCGTAGGTCCAAAGAAAGAGCCACTCTCCAAATTTCTTTTATCATTTTCCGTCTTCGGTGAAGAACAGATAGAGCATACATAACCATACAAATTAAAGTTGAATACACGAGTCTTGTATTTATGCTCTTTAAAAACATGCCAAACTTTATAGGTGTTCAATCATAGATGCATGGTGGTGGCCCAAGATCGTTGAAAATTTGATTCAGGTTGGTGGGTGGGTGCCATTTTCTTATGACCTTCCGAGTAATAAATTGACACCTCTCTCTAATAAGACATCAACTTTGTCTTTACCTTAAAAATCATAATTAATTTGTAGATACGGGATTATATCAGTTAATCAAAGTAGTGTGTTCGCCTCTTTACACAAGAGTCTATCTTCTTCCCGCAAATATTAAAAACAAGAAAATTACAATTAATTCGTTAAATAAAATATAAGATGCTGTTTTTTCGGTCGAAATAAATAAATAAAATATAAGATCACAACATACACTTCCGGGAAGAAAAAAAGTGAAAAAGTATGAGATTTTCTATTTAAACTCTGCACTTCTCTTTGTTCACCCCAATACTTAAATTATTAAGCTGTAAGTTTTATTATTATGTAAAAAGACAGAAAAGGTCATCCAACTTAATAATTAACCCTAGTACATCTATACACACACCCCACAGACCCC